TAAAATCCATTTTGAGAAAAATAGCATTAAGACTAAAAATCAGTCTTGACAAGAATATCTGACCTCATGTCTTCTGACAGACAGAGAAATTTTTGAGTTTGGATATGAGGAAGAAGACAGATGCCAGTTGAAGTTATTATCCCATCAACCAAGAAAGAAAATTACAAAAATGAACTTGCAAATCAACCAGGCCCTGAGACTAACTTACTGAAGCAAATAAATGCTGTGCCTCTATTTTAGCTCAGCTCAGCTGTAATTCATGCATACATAATTACAGGAATGACAAATTAAAAGTGCAAATTGCAGTATAAAAAAAATCAGCAAGTAAATTTAAATTAAACTTCATTCCCATTTAAAGCATGAAGCTTTCGGAATGCTAATTAGCCTTTTCTCTTGGATTAATACATGTAGTAATTGCTGGCCTTTTCCTCTTTCTAATGCTCTCTTTAATCAAAAGCCAGCTAATTAATAGTCACGGGACTAAGAAAAAGTAGAGTTCCTCCGTGTGCTTGCCTTTACCTTGGTATTATTTCCTTAAAAGAGTTTGGAGCAGCACTTTGCTAAGTATTCAAAATAAGTCAATAGGACACTCAATGGAGAACCTTAATGCGCCTTTGATACATAACTTGGCAGCATCTGCTGGCAAACTACAATGACACACCACTTCCATAGGCACACACAGTTATAGAGAAAGACCTGTTGATAAGTGTGGCACCTTCAACATGCAGACTGTGTCTACAGTTTGGTTGTAGTGTATCTCCAGCATTTTGCAGTCGTGCATTTTTAATTCATGTAAAATAAGATTTTATCCATCTAATGTGCAGATACACAACAGGTCATTAAACCAAGGACAGGTTTACTGTATAACTGTCTTTAAAACAATCGTAACACCACACATGAGAAGTCTGAGGCTTATGCAGCATGTCAGTGTCAAGTGTCAATACAAAAGAACTATAGTATGTAACTAGATTCCGATTTATGAATATACAGTACACTGGCATTAACAGTATGTACTGTATGCATGAATATGCAACATCATGTATACGCCATTCTAAATCTGTAAACACCAGCCCACCACTTGCCAGTTTACAATACAGTATATGATAAATTAAAGGTGAAAATGAAATCAGGTCTATAAAGTTTTAAATAATCACACCTAAATAAGATACAATGGCTTTGAACTGTGTGAACAACGTAAACAAAATATTAAAGTAATCAAACATGTTAGTATCAGCCACCAAGTTACTAGAAAGATACTACTTCTCTGTCCAAAGAAGAGCAGCCAGATGCATTCCAGGACTGAAAGGAATTCCCTGCACTGACAGGCTGCAGGATCAGAATCTTTTCATTCTTGAGCAGAGAAGACTGTGGGGGATATGATAAAAGGATTCGAAATCACCAAGGGCATGGATGAACAGTCACAGCCAACAGTGAAATATGAACCAAAGGACAGAAGTCGAAATGACATGGATCTGCATTAAAACCCAGAACTGGTGGCCCACACCTCTTTTCTAGTATTTCTCCCTTCGCCCCAGCGGCACTCCTGCAGCTGCCTCTCGGTTCCTTCCTCTAACGCGAGGAGCATTGCCAGTGCTGTCACTCCTTCTTTGTATTTCTTGGCTTGTTTCATCTTTACTCACATTTGACCGGACAGATGAAATGGTTCAGATGGGCCAAACAGCCTCCTCTTGTCTGTAACATTTCTCATGTCCTGTGATCGTACTAGTATTCAGATAACGTACTGTTTTAACATGTATGTCTATGAACACCATGATACGAGAAGCAACCACAGAAATACCTGGCAGTGAGTGTTAACAGCAAAGCTAAAACTACTGGGGAGAAAAAAAACATACTGCAGCAATAATGCTAAACTAGGAAAATAAACAAGATCACCCAAATGGCGCTCTGAGAAAATATCACAGACTTTAGAATAAAGCTTTTAGTTTGCCATTAATTAGTTCTCTAACGCATTCAACAAACTCCAGGTCATTGAGGCAGAGATGAAGAATTGTTAAATCCCCATCACTCAAGAGAGATACCACAGTGAACAGATGTAATACAGCCAGCATTATATCAAATGCAGAAGCTGAAAGTCCTTGCATGAAGCAACTGATTGCTTCAGACATGCATAAAGAGAAGTTGTTTATTTTTCCATTTGCCGATGCTCAAGACAGCTTAACAGTGCACAGGCTTGTTTGCCTAAAAATGGTATCGGCTTTCCGCTTTATTAAAAATGTCTCATGCTACAACCAAGAAGTGTCTATGAAATCTTTTCATATACATTTTCATTTGATATTTATCAAATAAATACTTAAATACTGGTTGCATAGAGAGAAAGTCGAAGTTACATCATTTTAGTTTTACATCGAACCATACAAAACATATCAATACCTCTGGCTTTAATAATGATGGGCAACAGCATGCACTAAAATTAGAGATTTTACTTGGCTTATTGCTTTGAACAGCAGACTGCTTTGGCTGATAATGGATACAGCTAAGGGGAGGCTGGCTGGAACCATGTGTAAGAGAATGTGAGAGAACACATGCAGCAGAAAACAAAAACACTTCCTGTGATTAATCTTGATTTTGTAGATACCAATTCAGAAGGCAATAAAACAGATAAAGAACAAAGTAAATTTCAACCAAACACCACTGGAAAAGCAAGGATAAATCTGGCAAAAATCTGTAATTTTATTTTTTCAATGGTGCTTTACATGCGCTCCCTTTGGCCATTTATTGTGGACTATCTATACTGCACAAGGCTAATTAATAACACAAACTCCCAAAAGATAGATATGTTTATCAACTTAAAACAGTAGGAACGAGCACTCTTAAATGCAAGGTTAAAAAGCTAATAACTATAAATGCTGGTCTGGCAATTTATAGCAATAATAGTGAATTTCTCACAAATGCCTGTTAGAAGCATGCATAATGTATTGGCCTATAAATCTTTCCAAGGAAAAGGTGTGAAGCTCACATGTGCTTCAGGAAAGAAGTAATATTCTGATTAATGTCATTCAAAAACATTAATTCATCATATACTTTCAAAGTATGCAGTTAAAGCTAATATGAAAAACCTATGCTTCCATGAAACACTGCAAACATTCAACTCCAGATACATTTAAGATTGCCCTTCCAGTTATGATGATGTGTTAATATAACAGAGGCACCATTTAATGATAGAAATATCATATCTGTATTTTTCAAGTAAATAATAAAAACTACGTTTTCATTTTTCATTTGTTGGCATTCATCTTCACCCTTACAATTATGGTGTTAAACCATCTTCAACCCACCAGTGATTTTCCTCACATTTTCTATACTGTTGTTTCTTCTGGTAACGTACACACTGGCAGGAGAAAACACTTCACCTTTCTCATGCATTACAGGCCATCTAAACCTCTCAGCATAGTATATCAGTATATATACATAAGGTCTTCATCAGTTCTGCTCTTTAGTGGAGTATCAGGCTATCAAACATTTTTAATACTCATCCATCCCTTCATCCATTTTTTATGACTGCATCCTCCAATTCAGGGTCATATCAGGTAAGCACTCCAGGCAGGATATACCCTGGATGGGACACCAATCTCACCTGAGTCAATTTTCTCCGAAGCCAGTTAACCTACCAGCATGTTTCTGGACTGTGGTAGGAAAGCAGAGCACCAGAAGGAAACCCAGGTGACACAGGGAGAACATACAAAACTCCATGCACAAAGTAGCCCAGCAAGATCGCCTAATCATGCATGCATAATCTTTTAAAATGGAAGACATTTCAAAATGGTCTGTAGACCCAGGCCAGTTACATGCTCTTGCATGAACAGCAACCAAGGCCATAAATGAAATAGTTAGTATACAGTAAATGAAATAGGATAACAGTATAGAGGTCATTACAGTATATTCCTTACGAATTGATAAGAATTACATAATTCAGTATTTTCTATCCAGTGACTTTCAGGACACCGGTAATATTTCTTACCATGTCAGCCAAAAGAACTCACTGTATAATAATATGGAACAGACATGAACATCTACATTATCAAAGCAGTCAATTCAGAATGGTGCATTTAGTATTTGTATGAAACCTTTACATCAAACATGCATTTATTTTATATTGATTTTTGTTTTTTCTCTCTTTTGTCCAACTGGGTCATCATTAACAGTATAAATGTAGCAGCAGATATTGTACATAAAGTGTGCACTATTTTAGTTATTTGTTTCAGGAACACCCTAAACTTATAGAAGCAAAATGTTTTAAATTCTAGAACTGCAATAAACTTGCCCAGACATATAATGATTAATAGAAAAGGCAGTGCAATATAAAATTACTCCTTATTTATGACTGCATGATGGAGACAGACCCAATATCTAACTAAGGAAAAGAATACAGAAAGCCTTCCGATCTGCACACTGAAGGAATCTGCTTCAAAATTATGCCTTCAGCTCAGCCCTCCCAAGATCTTAGCCTGTTACAGATAAGCGGTTTCTGACAACGTTCAAAATCCCTTAAACTGTAATCCAATGAAAAAAACTGGCAGTACTATTTGACATAAGGATTAGTCACTGAACAGGATAAGCAACTTTATTCTGTGTATCTGTAATTAGCACAAATGCTTTGCTTTTGGATTTATATGTAGATACAGAGTAGCACTCCAAAGGGGAAAAACAGTATTTATTAGAGCTCTTTATTTCTGTCACTTAATTTTCAGGTTTGACCCTCACAGAGACACTCCAATATCAAAATTTAGTTAGCAGTGGGAGCAATGGCACAGTGTAGGAAAGCATACTGACTTGTTTACATTTGTCAAGCTAGCTTTCAAAATAATTTGAACAGCTTAAAAACACTGGGAAATAAATAAATTGTAGCACATTCTGTATAGATACTGTATGAAGACATACAGCAAAGATATAAGCATACCACAACATACTAGACATGATCACTTTGGCCTATCCAAAAATATGACTTTACTTGACTCGTTTCCTAAATATTGCAGGCCAGAATCAGTTTTATTACAAATAAAAAGTGCAACCAACATTTATCGACAGTACTTGCACCTGCATGGAGGTTCATATTAAATGAGTGTGTTGCACCTCTCCCCCGATGTGGTTCCTCTATGCCAAAAGGCTTGATCTCCTGCTGAAGGACAAGTCAACCCTATCCACATTTTCAGGGGATCACCGACACATCTTCTTCTGTTCAAGTTTTCCCAGGTAGCAAGAAATCAAACTAAGGACTTGCAAAAGAAAAAAAAGATACAAGATACCATAAAAAACTATTACCTTTCAAGGTGAAGTTTAGCCACAAATTCAACAAATCAAAATCTGGTTTTCATTTCACATGAGCTCAGACATTTGAACTGATTACCTGCTTCTAAGTTAGATGCTTAAAACATTAATTTAAGTCACTTTGAAGATCTAATAACTCAATCTCTCCAGTAGAACCATTTCCAGTAAACTCAGTTATTAGTTCAATGAAAACCAGAGAGATACTCAGTTCACCATAACTAGGACTGGAGAGCCCAGCTCTACGGTAAAATAGCAACCAAGAACAATCAAATCGGGAACAGCTGAATGCCATTCTCATAGTGGAGTGCTCCAAGACAAGGTACATACGATCCCACTTTTTCAAATTCAATGTTTTCAATCCTAGAAAAGCATTTCTAAGACTAAAGGCTAACCTTCTTTAACACATCGCAACCAAAAAGGAAAAAAAAAAACTACGAAAAATAAATATCCTCTAACCTGTCTTAATCTTCTCCTCTCTGTAGTGCATAACAAAAGTGTTGAAGTTCTTGCACCAGTGCAAATCTATCCTCTCCTCAAGAGCTCTTCCAAGCAGACAGTTTTAAAAGGTTTTTGCAGGTGAGAGACAGGGCATGACCTGTTTTGTGTGAAGAAAAGAAGCCACATTTGCTCAGACAACAGCACTTAATTTCCTCATGATCAGGGAGTGAAAGAAAACAGGTGAACACACCAAAAAACACAAAACAAGCTAAATTAAATCAACACCAAATCAAAATGGATAAAGCAAAACACAAAACACTCAGAGCTAAAAATGGAAATGGAAAAATTAATACAAGAAAAAATGTGCACAGATAATTAACTTAATTAATGAAACATTAAAAGAAACTAGCAGCCACTATCAGTTAGAGCTATACATGTCACAAGGCTGACCTTTTGCAATTATTGTTTTTTTCCAGCCTACAGTACATACTGTATTGACAAACTGACAATATTTAAACAGGAACCTTATGTGTAAAATAAAAAAAAACTAAATATCGGCTTTAGGATAAGTATTATAGTAATAGTGTAAAAAATACTACTGTAGTATTTTTTTTTCATTTCCTCAAGGCTAATGACAATTTTTCAGAATGTTGATTTACCTCTTGAATAATTGTAATGTACTAAAATACTATAGAAATGCATAGTCAACACATTATTCGATGATAACATTTTAACCTGTTTGACTGTGATATTATGCAATTACCCCACTAAACATACTCTAGACTAGATCGCATCTGTGCTTGGTCCTATTTAACCCTTTGGAAATAAAATGCAA